AAAAGAAAAAATTATCCAAGTAGTTCACGAAGAGGACTCAAAACTCAAGTAAGGACTTCCATTTCTAGAAACTTCAAACAACTCTGCCAACTGAAGCAACTGACATCCTGAATAAATATAAAATACAGTTTTAAAGAATGCATTGTTGAATCAGACAAACGCAAATTAAGGGGACTTTCTGCCAAACAGCCGGATCACTGTACTTCAAAAAAGTCACAAGTGATAAAGCCAGAAACGGTTAAAGGTTGAAGAACACTAAAGAGGTATGAGGATAAGTGCAATGTATGATCCTGGACCAGAAAAAGGACATTAGTTGGACATTCACTAAATCTGAACAGCCTACATAATAGATGCTAGCATTACATCAACATGAATTTCCTTATTTTGGTAACTGTATTGTGGTTATACAAGATGCTAACATTTGGGGGGTCTGAGTGGAGGGCATATGAAATTCTTTTTACTTTTAAAAAAAACTTCAAAATGAGAAGTTAATGTCTTTTAAAAAATATCAAGAATAATGCATTGCCCTTATGGGAACAGAAGAAGGCATGGACAAGTCCAAAAATGAAGTGAAAGTAACAACTAGCAGTATAATCAGTAAGCACAAAGCCCACACTTGCCCTGAAGGTTTCCGGTGGATCCTGAAGATGCTGGGCTTCTCCCTTCAGAGCTTCAAAAGGAGCAGGGGGTCGAAAACGAAGGGCTCAGCTGGGGTGTGAAGCAAGGGACCCCAGGAAAGCCAGAACCCAAAGGCTCACAGCCTCGATGTAAAGGTAATGGGGAAAAAGCCTGTCAGGAAAATGGAATGGCAAGAAAGCCCAGTGTGGGGATGGGGAATTTCTTAAACCACGTGAGGACTAACCACAAGATGACTGCAGGGTAATCTGAATTTGTATTGCCTATGTGATCCAGAAAAACTAAAGAGAATCGGAAAAGGCTGTGAATCTGTAGTGCCCTCATTTCAACTTACAGAGGCAAAATACTTTCACTAGTGAATTAACTGTAACTTGGCCCTCAAAGATTTCCCCACAGAAAAAGTTCCCAAGAAACTGAATCATGAGACATGAATCAAATGAGAAGACCTTCACTTCTGAGTTCAGGAATAAGGAAAAAAAAATAGAAGCATTATTCAGAGATGGCTAAGATTTCCCAGAGGGATTAGCCTGATCAGATATTAAAGCTGTTATACTTACACTGTGGTATAGTGTGAATCAACAGAGACACTAATGGGAAACAAACAGGCCAAAAATAGACCCAAGGATATACAGCAAGTTAGTGTTTGATAAAGGTGGCATCACAAATCACTGGTGACTTGACATGGCACTGAGCCAACTGCATAGCTTTCTGGAAAGATCAAATTGGATCCACATCTCACACCGCACAACAGAATAGTCTTCTAATGGATTAGATCTAAATATAAAATAGGAAAGGAGAGGAGGATTCTGCAAAGATGGTAGGAATAGTGGCATCGTCTTAAGACTTCTCAGTCTTAACAAGTATGTTGGAAAAATGGAGGGGGCTCCTTAGAGAATGTCAGGTAATGAATGTACAGAGATGGCAGAAGGCAAAATGTCAACGCGTAGGCAAGGCACATCAATGGATGATAAAGCCACAAAGTTCAAAGCACCCTCTTCACATAAAGCAACTGAATTTAAAAAAACCAGAAAATCATTTACAACAAAACTAGATGACAGGAATCGTGAAGACCCCAAAATCCAAGCAGTAAGAAGGCAAACTGGACAGCCACCCACGTGTTTGCAGCATCTGGGGCAGGAGGAGGAATGGAGCGACGGAGCTTGTGATGGGGCTGAGAGCGGAAACCCAAAGAGCCAACAGTTTTCTCCAGCAAGCATGTCGTGTGGGCCGACAGAAGAACAGCCGCTGGAAGTGGGAGAGGCTCTGCTGCTCCCACAGCAAGTGAACCCGAAGTCCTGGGCAAGGGCCGGAGGGGCCGGCAGAGGCTGAGCCCATGGCCTCCAGAACTGATCTGCCACAACTCCCTGGTGAGGTTCTTTCCCAGGCAGAGCCCCACACAGACACAAAGTGTTGGGTGTGGAGTGAAAACTCTAAGACAGGAACAAGAGAAACAAAGCAGAAGGTTCAAATAAAAGCAGGGGAGGCTCCACTGGCCAAAGAAGATGGGGCAATTTGAACTTCAAAAGGGAAAATAAACACAATCGAGTAAAACCCTTCAAATATGTTTACGTAAGTCTGAAATGACATAAAAAAGGAAGTTACCTTCAGAAGATGACGGGGAAACAAACTGTGCAAACTGTCCAATAAGGGGGGAAAAAACCAAGCACTTATTCTATCCTATCCTATATGAACAATACCTGAAGTGTCTACTTACGAGAACTTGAATACTTGGGGTTTCTTTTGCCCATGCCTTTATTTTCTCTCTTCTTTCTTTAATAAACGTTGTTGCAAAACTTAAAAACAAAAAACATGACTACTTGAAGTATAAGAACAATACTTGAAGTGTCTGTTCTTAAGAACATTCCAATTAACAAATGAAAGACAAATTAAGAGATACAGGCACTAAGCACCAACTGCTCACATCACACAAATAAAAATGCCAGACATTTAGTGCCTCCAGATGAAAGAACACACGACTACTTCTGGATCCAGCCACCCATCTGCAGAATATAAAGAACTGAAGAACATGCTAAACTACCCCATGAACATAGAATCGTCAGTATTCAGACTGTGGGAAACTACAGGTCATACAGCTTGGGTTCTTTAACATTGTAAAAGAAAGAAGGGAATGGAGAGCAAACCTATAGATTAAGAGAGAATTAAAGAGTCTTAAAGACACAGCAAATTTAAAGAAAATGGACAAGACCAAAACTATGGTGTCCGGAGACACCCACTTTGGTGATAAATGTAAAAAAGTGCCATCCGGGCTCGGTGGCTCAGCCTGTAATCCCGCGCCTTTGGGAGGCTGAGGTGAGTGGATTGCCTGAGCCTGCGGGTTCGAGACCCACCTGGGCGGCAAGACCTCATCTCTACAATAAATCAAAAAATCAGCTGGGCATGGTAGCGCATGCCTGTAATTCCGGCTACTCGGAAGGCTGAGGCGGAAGGATCGCCGGAGCCCAGCAGGTCGAGGCTGCGGTGGCCGGCAGCAGCCACTGCACTCCAGTCTGGGCGACCGAGTGAGACTCCAACTCAAAAAAAAAAAAAAAAGCAAGTGCCTACCATAAAGGTGAGGGTTGCAGTTACTAAGGGGAGGGAAGATGCTGTGACTGGAACAGGGAACATGGAAGAGGCTTCGGGAGTGACCAGCCAAGTTATAGCTCTTGGCTGCAGATGCAGTTTCAAAGTGTTCATCTTCGAAAATCTCATTTGTGTTATTTTCAGAATCTGTGTTTCACTTTGTAATAGAGACTACATGAAAAGTTGGGAAGCATGCTCAATGAAAACATACTGGATAAAAGTATGCGTGAATTCCTTCCAACTCTAGATAGGCAAGTCTTTCTAACTCTATGGCTCAATATTCAGAAACAATAAAGCAAAAGATAAAATTGTTCGAAACTTCTGCATGGCAGCCCTGTACACAAAACAAGACAAACTGGGAGAAAGTATTTGTAACTTACACCTTGGATAAAGGGCTTTTGTGCTAATGCATAAAGAGCTCTTAAAAACTGAAACAGAAACCCCAAAAATCTGATAGAAAAATGAAAAAACTTTTTTAAAAAGGCACTAGAAATCCATAATGACACTAAAACAAGTGTGCTAGAAAAATGGAAGGGGCTCCTTAGAGAATGTCAGGTAATGAATGTACAGAGATGGCAGAATGTAAAATGTCAACGCGTAGGCAAGGCTCATCAATGGATGGTAAAGCCACAAAGTTCAAAGCACTCTCTTCTAGATGATATATTAATGACAAACAGAAAATGGGCCTATGCGATGGAGAGGCCTGGTGGGCGACACCTTAGCCAAGGGATCAGCCACCAGTAGGACAACCTGCCATTCCCCTGGTGGGAAGCAAGAGAAACTCAACTGTAGCTACAAAGATGTTCAGCCTGAAGGTATCACCAGGAAACAGACAAGTCCAGGGTGTCACCTGTTCCACAAGACAATGGCCTGGGCTCTTCAAAAATTCAAAATAACAATACAACGTGTGGCTACAAAAGCTGCTTGGACCTTCTGTGCATACGAGGGGAGGATGGGCCCTTGTAACACACTTGGAATCTGTTCCTCCAGATCAAACAGCCAAAACAGTTTTTATCTGGCAATTTTGAGAAAGCTGTGTCACGGTTTGCAGAAGAAACGTCTCAACTTGTGGCCAACAGGTGACTTGCTTGGCTCTTCCACCATGACAATGCGCCTGCCCACACAGCACTGGGCGTCCGTTTTCGACCCAGACTGGCATGAACCCTGTGCCCCACCTCCCCAGGCATTCCTGGTCTCACCCAAGCAACTTTTTTGGGTGTCCTCAATGAAAAAGTCCTTCCAAGGGAAACGTCCTGCCCATATGAAACAGGTGAAACATAAAATGGCAGAAGCATTAAAAGGCATCAAAACTGATGCGTTCAAAACGGTTTCGAGCAGTGGGAAAAGCGTCTCCACAGGTGTACTGCGTCAGAGTACTTGGAAAGTGACTGAAGTTCAAACATGTAAGAATAAATAGGTGATTTTTTATAAATAAATTCTAGGGTTTTTTGGATCCCCCTTGTATATTAGGCCTTTCGTTTGTGATGTAGACTGGTAAGTGGTGAGCCAGCCATCATGTTGGAAAATTCCTAAACATCACTGAAAACAAACCCTCCTCCTAATCCCGGAAGGCTTGAGCCCCACGGAATATGCAGATTCTTGTTACCTTGGGCTGCTCCACCCTCAATGCCCTCCACCATCACTACTTTCAAAGGCTCTCGCAAAAGAGACAGTCTCCTTGAAATGACTGGTTGATTATGATACTGTTGGGGTTCGCTGGATAATAAAGTGAAGGACCAGAAAGGGGAGATGCAGGGCAACTCCCTGCCCGCTACCGTTATTACCATTTAAGTTTCCGTCATTCCCAGCAAGGGCCGCCTGCTTGTCTGTTTCGGATTCTGCCTCATTTTCATCCATGTTGTAGTCACCATCTCCTCCCAGTTTTTGCTGGTTTCTCCCTGCAAAATGAGCAAATAAAACATAAGCTATACCATTTCTCCCTTGATGCCACAGCAACACCAGAACCCAGGAGCTGGCAGATACCCATATTCTTCATTTCACAATGAGATCTTTTTGCTACCTCTCTGGAAGGGACTTACGTGCTTATTTCCAGGATATACACCACGTGGTCGTTCTCTACTTATGCATGTTCTACTTGGACTCAAAGTCTATATAAAAAAAGGCCCTAAGAAAAAGGCTATATTTCCCAACTGGAAATGGAGAAACTAGGTAACTAAATCAAAATCCTAGTTCTTTAAAGAGATAAGCAACTCAAAGAACAGTACCACTGTTTTAGGAAACAACAGATTTCAGTTAAAGACAGTATCTCCTTAGACGGAGAAGGGAAATGGAGTAGCTACTGTGAGCCAAAGGTGAGAGACTTACACTCACAGAATTAAGCCACTGACTGCTATATTCCTCCTTGGAAAGCCCAGCAGCCAGGAAAGATCAGGACAGAATGCTTTCAGAGGACCGATTCAACAGACTTATCCTAAACATTTTATATTTGTGCATAAGGAGGTAAACACAATCTTTTTTAAAAGCATGCCTGGAAAATCAGCTCTAGTTCTGTTTCTCTGCATTCACCGCCTGGGGTGGAAACACAGCAAAGGCAGGCATGCCCTGCGCGTTCATTCTTCAGATGAGATCACTATAACTGTGTCTAGAACCAGTGCATCAGGCAGGCCTGCGGCATCCAGGGCCACCTCTAGCTGTTAACACTTTGTGACCAGCTACCAGGAGGTCCGACACTTGGGCGCCCTGGCTGAGCCCCACTGCGATGGCCCTCTCTCAGGGAGGGAGTGCGCCTCTTCTTGCTGGGCAGGCATGGAGGGCAGTGCCCGAGCAGGGAGACGCAGTGCTGTGACTGGAACTTGGGAGGACACACTCCTCAGGGTGCCTTCGGCAAATAAGCGCATTCTCCAACTTCTGTTCCCTGGCCCTTCCCAGAGCACAGGTGTATGTCTTCAGAAGTGCTTCTGGCTCAGGTGGGAAGGAAATTTTCCACATCTTTAAGGGACCAGAATATATCCCAGAATATTCTGTTGATCTCAGATTCTCACTTTCCTGTAAGTCTTTAAAAAGTCAACCAAACAAGACAGGAGGGTGTCACATGTCACTTTTCCTCAGTGCTCAAATATGCAGTAACCTCATCTACCCATCATTCCTTCCTTTCTTCCTCCCTGTAGTCATTCATTCGCCAGGCACTGACTATTCTACACCAGACACTGAATGATAAAGTGGAGAAGCAGAGATGGGGTACGCGGTCTGCCTGCCAGGGGTGATGTTCACTCAGTGCCAGCATTCGTCTCCAGGTTGCAAAGTCCTCTTGCCTTCCTGTAATATTGTTTCTGGGCTGGGCTCGGTGGCTCAGCCTGTAATCCCAGCACCTTGGGAGGCCAGGGCAAGTGGACTGCCTGAGCCTGTGGGTTCGAGACCAGCCCAGGTCACTTGGCAAGACCTCATCTCTACAATAAGTCAAAAATTAGCTGGGTATGGTAGTGCACGCCTGTAGTTGTGGGAACTTGGAAGGCTGAGGCAGAGGGACTGCCGGAGCCCAGTAGGTCCAGGCTGGGGTGGCCATGAGCGTGCCCCTGCCCTCCAGCCTGGGCAACAGAGTGAGACTCAACTCAAACAAAAAAAATACTGTTTCTGAAACCTTGGGTGCTACGGTGTGTGCTGCCCTTCCTTTCTGCCTCCCACTGGATAACAAATGTAAACTGCAGTTAGCAGAGTTCAAGGGGATCCGCCTGACGTTAGGAAGGAGATGGAGAGGGCGGAGTGCCTGGCAGGAAGGCATTCACGGCAGCCTTCAGAGCCCCTCACCCACCTTCCTCAGCAGCATCCTGCTCCTCCTGCCCGGTGGCAATGACAAGCTGGTCCCGCTCGGGGCCTTCCACTTCCTGATTTTCCTGGCTCGCCAGCAGGGCGGCTGGCACCCGCGGGGTCCGGCCCAGCTCTCCGGCTCCCGCGAAGCCACCTCTGCCCACGAGTCTGTCTTCCACCGCCTGCTCCAGACCCGGCTCTTGCGGCAGGCCCAGGCTGTCCCTTCGAGACGCCTCCTCGCTGGCGATCTGGATCTCGTTTGTTTCCTCTGTGCACAGAACGCAGTTGTTAGGCTGTGACCTCACCAGCATTTAATTAAAAACCGAAGACACAACCTGTCAGGATCCCTTGTGCCCAGGAGTTTGAGCTATGACCATGCCCCACCATACTCCAGCCCGGGTGACACAGCAAGACCCCATCTCAAAAAACCCCCTCGCCACTCAGTTCCCAGGAGCCTTCCCCAGGAACGGGACGTGCGACTACAGGCCCCTCTAGGCCTGCAGCTCATCTTCCAATCGTGAGGAAAAGCTGTTTCAAAAAACACAAACCTGAATTACCTTAATAAGCTACCAGTGGGGGACGGTGTAGTGCCGAGATATCCGGCCGTGTCCGTCTGAGACAAGCACTTGGGCGCTGCAGGGTTCCAGCACACCCAGAAGTCACTTGTGGACATGGCAGCCACCTACAATCCCAGTGACGGCTACCTGGGGCTCCACCACCTCCCCTCAGTCCCACAATCCCACCAAACAAAGTATAGCCTGGATCTTTCTTGACGCAGCTGCCAAAGAACAAGGCACTTAGTTTCTGAAGAGGAGACGTCCGTAAGACGGAGAAGCAGCCCCAAGGCCCCAATGCCAGGTGTCCAGAGAGACGGTCCCCCACCCCGGCAGCCCCAGTGCCGAGAGGTCGATGCCTCCAGCGGCACATTCGGCTTTCCGTCTCTGCATGGACTGGAGTGCACGAGCTGCCCCTTGCTTGATGTGAATGTGCCTGGGAGAGGAGGGAACAGGGCGGCTTCCAGGCTCTGCTTACCTTCTGCCCCTCGTCTCTTCAAATCCAAAGCCACCTTGGAACTGGGGGCCGGGGTCTGGGCCTCACTGCTGCTGGGCGCGTTTCCTTTCCCTTGTGCTGCCTCGGCCTGTGGTAGAGCTGCTGCCTGCAGCCTGGGCTGAGGCTCGCGGGGGGCTTGGAGCTGAAACGGGAGCAGAGGATGGCCAGGACAGGGTTCCGTGACCAAAAGCCTTTCCAGAACTCCATGCCATGCAGCGTACCGCCACGTCCTTCCAACAGATGTGAACCCCGAAACCCTGAGCCATGCCAATTTACTCTGGTCATGAGGCATATATCAGAAGAACGTGAGGTTGAGTCAAGGTCTCCCAGAAAGAACTTTCAACATGGATTAATAACTAGGCAGTGAGTCTGCAAAGAAAACATTACAAAATAATAACTAGGTAGAAGATCAACAAAAAACACAATAAACCAACTAGACCGAACAAACATCTATAGAACACTTAGCCCAACAAGAGCAAAGTGCACATTCTTGCCAAGTGCACAAGGGACATTCTCCAGGACAAACATATGTTAGGCCACAAGGCAAGCCTCAATGCACGTAAATAACTGAAATCACACAAAATGTGTTATTCCATAAGAACGGAATGAATTATAAATCAATAACAGAATGAAACTGGTGGACTTCACAAATACATGAAAATTAAACAACACACTTGTAAATAACCAGTGAGTCAAACAAATAACAAGACAAATTAGAAAGTGTTTTGAGACAAATGAAAACAGAAACACAATACGCCGAAACTCACGGGAGGCATCTCAAGTGGCGCCCGGAAGAAAAGGTCTACCTGGACACAGCTGTGTTACAAGACTCCTAGTTTTCAGCTCCTCACGTAGGGAGCTTAGGAGTCACCACCTGGTCCTGATAACAAGTAAAAAGCTGGACAGACTACATCATCAATGCTTTTTGAACCCGTAAGAGAGGTGAGGACACAGAGTAAATCACTGCCCCCAGCCTGGAGACAGACAGCTCACCGCAGGGAGCCACCGAGACTGGAGCAGAAGCCCCTGTGAGGACCAGTGTCGCGGTAGCAAAGCCTGAGTTGTAGTTTAGGAGCTGCTGGAGGTCTGTGTGGAAAGCCGAAGAGGCATAGCCCCAAGGGGACCCAGTCATGAGGGGGCCCACGCTTTCTGAGGTTCGCCCCCAGGAGCTCGAGGAGGTTCTCACAGTGAACACCGGAGAAAAGCCCCCTTGTGCTTCCAGCAGCAAGAGGGGAAAAGAAGCCCTTCGGACACAGCCGGAGCTCTCTGTTCTCCTGAGCCAAGCCTGTCCTCCGGAGAGACGGATGAACCAGCGCCCAGCCTGCCCTGAGGGAACGGAAGCTCCCACCTCAGCAGCCTTCCACTCGGGAGGAGCGGCCGCCCAGCGCCGGCCCCTCTGGCCGTCCGGTCCCACGGGGCGGGTGGGCCGTGGCTCTGGAAGCACACGTGATGTCCACAGCCATGGGGCGCAGGCCGACGAAAGACAGGCCACGTCCCCACTCGCGGCCCGCGCCCGCTTGTCTGCCCGGCAGGCCGCGTGTGGCTACCGAGAAAGACATCAGGCAGCAAAGAAAACCCACTCTGGAGAGACAGAGCAAGCATCGGAACCAGACATGACAGGAGCGCTGGGATACCAGGCCGGGAATGTAAGACAACCATGAAATACGCCAAGGGATCTAATGGATGGAGCAGGCCGCATGCAAACGCAGGTGGGCAAAGTGAGCAGAGAGATGGCAGTCCCAAGAAAGAACGCGCCAGGGATGAAAGCCACTGGGAGAGAAACGAAGGGCCTTGGGCATTCGTGAGCAAACTGGACACAACTGAGGAAAGAATCTCCGAGGCAAAGAGAAGCCGCTAAAACTGAAAGACAGCGAGAACAAAGACTAAGAAACAGAAGAGCCAAGAACTGTTGGACAACTACAAAAATGTAACATCCATACAGTGAGAATACCAGAAGGAAAGGAGAGGAAGTAACAGAACACTATTTGGAACAATAAGGAATTCCCCCAAATTAACGTCAAATTCCAAAGCACAGATCAAGGACATTCAAAGAACACCTGACAGAATAAATGCTAAGAAATCTGGCATTTTATTTTTAAATGAAAGAAAATCAAACATAAAGAAAAAATCCTGAAAACCAGAAGAGGGAAAAAAACATTATCTATAGAGGAATAAGAATTACATCTGACTTCTCAGAAACCATGCAAAGAAAAAGAAAGTGAAGTGAAATATTGAGTTTTGAAAAACAAAACACACAAACCTAAAATTCTGTGCAAAATTATCCTTCAAAAGTGAAGGAGAAATACTTCTCAGACAGAAAAATTGGGGATTTGTTGCTAATAGACCTGCCTTGCAAGAAATGCTCTAAGAAATTCTTTAGAAAGCCGGGCTCGGTGGCTCAGCCTGTAATCCCGCACCTTGGGAGGCTGAGGTGAGTGGATTGCCTGAGCCCATGGGTTCAAAACCCGCCTGGGCAACTTGGCGAGATCTCATCTCTACAATAAATAAAAATGAGCCAGGCGTGGTAGTGCACACCTGTAGTTCCAGCTACTTGGAAGGCTGAGGTGGAAGGATCACCGGAGCCCAGCAGGCCAGGCTGCGGTGGCCAGGAATGGCCACTGCATTCCAGTCTGGGTGACAGAGTGAGACTCCAAATCAAAAAAAAAAAAGACATTCTTTAGAGAGAAGGAAAATAATATAGTTCAGAAACTTGGATGCATATAAAGGAAGAGCATCCAAAAAGAAATAAGTTGAAGGTAAAATAAAAATCTTTAATTTCCTTATTCTTAATTGTCCTAACAAATAAATTTGGTCAAAATAATATTAGCAACAACATACGTGATTGTGAGGCTGGGCGTGGTGACTCACGCTTGCTGTCAGCATGCCACTGCACTCCAGCCCAGGTGACAGAGTGAGACTCCAACTCAAAAAAAATATATAGACAGATAGATAGATTTGATTATGCCTACTTATATATATAATTTATGTGTGTATGTCTGCTTATGTACATTTATATATGAAACGAAAATGAATGACAGCAGCGATACGAGGGACGGGAGGTAAGAATAAGGGTGACTTTGTTGCCATAAAGTCCTCACACAACACATGATATGGTAGTGTTCTTTCAAAGTGGGCACGGATTCACTTAAAAATATATCACAAATTATAGGGGATGCACTAAAAGAAGTGAAAAATGAAAGTATAACCAATATACCTATAAAGGAGAGAAAATGGAGTCATATAAAATGTTCAATCAAAACCACAAAGGCAGCTGAGCGTGGTGGCTCACACCTGTAATCCCAGCACTTTGGGAGGCTGAGGCAAGAGGATTGCCTGAGTCCAGGGGTTAAAGACCAGCCTGGGCAACTTGGCGAGACTTTGCCTCTACAATAAATAAAAAAACTAGCCGAGCGTGGTGGCCCATGCCTGTAGTTCCATCTGCTTGGAAGGCTGAGACGGTACTATCACCTGAGCCCAGCAGGTGTGGTGGCTGTGAGTGTGCCACTGCACTCCAGTTTGGGTGACGGAGTGAGACCCTGACTCAAAAAAAAAGCCATACGGGCAGGAAGAGTAGGAAAAAAAAAAGCCATATGGGCAGGAAGGCAAAAAGAAAAATGAGCAGGGCAGTAAAACAAAATAATTTTTAAAATACAGTAGATGTTAATCCACCTATATCAACAGTAACTCTAAACAACAATCACCTTGTCAGTGGTCTAGATGTACCTATTAAAAGTCAGACATTCATGACCCGCCTGGGCAAACTGGCAAGACCTCATCTCTACAATAAATCAAAAATCAGCCGGGCGTGGTAGCGCACGCCTGTAATTCCGGCTACTCGGAAGGCTGAGGCGGAAGGATCGCCGGAGCCCAGCAGGTCGAGGCTGCGGTGGCCGGCAGTGGCCACTGCACTCCAGTCTGGGCGACAGAGTGAGACTCCAACTCAAAAAAAAAAATTTAAAAAGTCAGACACTGTCAGAGTGGATCTAAAAACAAGATCAAATTATGTTTTCTACAAGAAACTCACTTTACATATAAAGATGCTTACAGATTAAAAGTAAATGAATGGAGAAAATAGATCATGCTAACATTTATGAAAAGCAGGAGTACCCACATTAGCTTCAGCTAGAGATCTCAAAATAAGGAACGTTAATGCAGATAAACAGGGACATTACATAATGACAAACAGGACAATTCTTCAAGATATCCTTAACATGTATGCACCTAGCAACAGAACATCTAGCTACATGAGGCAAAATACAGGATACAATTGCAAGGAGATTGAATCCACTATTACAGCTGGAGAAGTCAATGCCACTGTCAAAAATGAACAGATCCAGGAGCAGAAAATTAGTAAGAACATAGTTGAACCAAAATCAGCCAATTAGACGTAATAGACATATGCAGACTACTGCATCCAGCAACAGCAGAATACACATTCTTCTCAAGCTCATTTCATATCACCAAGACAGACCACATTCTGGGCTACACCTTAACAAATGTAAAGGAACAGAAATTGCAGTGTCTGCTCTCAGACCACAATGGAATTAAACCTGAAATCAACAACAGAAAGATAACTGGAAAATCCCAAGATACTGGAGATTAAAAACACACTTCTATATAACACATAGGTCAAAGTAGAAATTTAAAAAAAAATAACTTATCAAGATTTATGGGACATAGCAAAAGCAGCACTTAGAGAGAAATATATAGCATGAACACAAAATTAGAAAATAAAAAATATGTAAAATCAATGATCTAAGTGTCTACCGTAGGAAGCTAAAAAAAACCCCCAGTAAACTACATCCAAAGTAAGGAGAAAAAAGAAATAATAAGAATTAGAGCAGAAATCAACAAAATTGAAAAAGGAAATCAATAAAGAAAAAATATCAATGAATTAAATAAAGCTTGTTCTTTAAAAAAACAGATAAAATGTATAAGCCTCTAGCTAACGTAACTAAGAGTGAGCGAGAGGACGCAAGTTACTATTATCATAAATTAAAAAGAGAACATCAGCACAGATCCTATGAAGAGTAAAAGCATACTAAAGGAATACTATGAACCATTCCACACCTGCAAATTTGGTAGCCTAGATGAAATGGACCCATTCCATAAAAGACACTCTGCCAAAACTCACTCAAGAAA